TTATTGCTTTGTTTTTTTTTTTCAGTGCTGGGGATTGAAACCAGAGTCTTAAGGGTGATAAGCACCTGTTCTACACTATTGTTATCTTTACAAAGGAGGACATGGGAAATGCAAAGAGGTTAGATGATCTACCAAGTTTAAGCAGACAATAAGTGGTAAAGCTTAAAGTGATAAAGTCCAACTTCAAGCTCAGGCAGTCCAACTTCTGAGTGCACCTGCCAATCAATTATCTTTAAATAATGGCTGGCACTCAGGGCCATGTGCTTCAGATGAGCTACAGCCTTGAGGAGAAGATAACAGAGGTGATATGTAAAGGAATCTTGTGGCTCAATGGTAGAGCATTACATGACAGGTTTGAGGTCCTGAGTTTGATCCCCAGTACTTACTTTCCCAAAAAAAGTTAAAAAAAAAAAAATCTTGTTACAAAGTTGAAAGTTATCTTAGCTCTGAATTATTATAATTATAGTTAAAAATTCATTTTTATTATGTGAATTCTGTTGTATTTACATTGCACTAACCAGTGGTTGATAATTATTTTGAGTAATACTAGGCCGCATGGCTACTCCTTAATAAATAGATTGTGGTACACTAATGTTAGAAAAGATCATAACAGCATTAAAAGATGAAAAATATATAAACATGAAAAGTAATTATGATTTAGTACCAAGAATAGACATAATTGTATGTTTAACTACACTTAAAATGTGTACAAAAATTCATGTGCATATGGACAAAAACTAATATATGAAACTGATTTGTAGATGGTGGTAGAATTAAAGTACTTATTTAAAAAAATCTTTTAGTGATACTATAATTTTTAGAAAACTGAATGTTGGATTTATTGTCATCTTCTTTATCTTCCTTTTTTTTTTTTTTTTGCAGTGTTGGTGATGGAACCCTGGCCTCATGCATGCTAGGCAAATGCTCTACCACTGTGTCCCCAGTTTTATTTTGCCTTCTTGATCAGTCTCCAAAGTAAGTCCCTCAAGTGCTCTCTGCCATCATGTCTGACAGCAAACTAATATGTCCATTTTCTTAGATACACAGAAATATGTAAAACGTAGAGAAAAAGGTCTCTATGGAAAAAGGTCTCTGGAAGATATCTCAGTTTAGAATGTAAGACCATTTGTGACATAATTAGGGGCCGTACCAAGAAACAACAGAGAAGGAAAATTGTCACTTTCAGAAAGGGGACCACCCTATTGGCTAGGACAAAATTAAATAACCTTATTAGAGAGGCAGCAACTCCCACATTGAGGCTCTTAGGATGTTCAGCTGGAGACACTAATAAGAGTTGACTGCCTCAGATATAACAAAAACAATATGTACAGGAAGAAAAGGAAGTGGAAACATATTTTAATGAATAGAAGCTTCATATCTTTAATTTTGTGTAGGGGATGATTTTTGGTAACTCAGTAGCATATTCTCTTAGTAAGTGTGCTCTCTAATAATGTGGGATTGGGGGTCATAAACTAGGAGTTGTTTACTAAACAACTCACACACACTGGGGAAAGGAGTTGGTGCTTCAGATGGGCTGAAGTTAAATGGCCTACAGAGCATTTACTTTGAAGGATGCTATGAGTCACTTCAAATATTTTTCTTTTATGTAGTACAGGGTGACGCACATTTTTAAAATAATCTGGTCAGTTGAGTTGTGTTGAGTGAACTTAAAAAGCAGAAATGTTTCAAGTTTAGAAAGCAGCATTTCAAACTGATAGGACAAGTCATTATGATATTTAACTCAGAAATAAGCAATTTCATATTCTGGCAGGTCCAAGGAGACACACCTGAAAGGAAGGATAAAGTAGAACTAAAGCTGTTCTAAAGATGGTTTGTCCTTTGGAGCCAGAGATAGGTACTTAGAAGGCCCTCCTTTTTCTGGTCTATGGTATTCTTTCTTCTCCTGTCTCACCTGCCTCTACCTCTACCCCAGCCCTGAGGCTGCATCCTGTCAGGGACCTTCAATGTCAAAACTTGTGAGCCCATCCTTCTCATGAGGTTAGGACAAAAAGTAACTTGTTCCTTGCTCAATGTTGGACCCACAAGAATAGATCCAATGTTATTTGTGCCTTATGGTTTGGTCTTTCGGATTCTTAGCACTGTCAAACTACAAAACAAATAGAAAGAAATTCTCCAAAGATTAATTAAATTTATTTGGAAATAGCAGTGCAACAGAAATAGGCATGCCTTAATAAATTGAGCATATTCAAAGAGGCTGAGGCAAGGGCAAATTTTTAAAGGCAAAATGAGGAAGATTACATAAGATCTTTTGAAACAATAACACTTTATTGCAAAGATCAATGACAAGGATGGCATCTGTCCAAGTCAAAACAGACAGTGGTTGAGCAGAGGTCCTTGCAGAAGTATATTTTTGTGTAAGGTTGCAGTGGACTTTGTTTAAGGTTGTGGTTCTCACATCACTTTTTGTGAACTGTTCTTTTTATCAGACGCACATGCATGAGATTCCATCCTTCATAACTTCCCAGCTTTATTTAATATCTTCCCTTTATTATTTTTTATTTGGGGTAGAGGGTAAGGCTACAAATGTTGATTCTGACAACTTTATACAACAGATAAAGTTCTTGCTAGTATTGAACTCTCTTACAGCACAACTTTTAAAATGTATTATGCTAAAAAGCTTTTTACCAACATTGATGATACAAAACCACCAAAGAGATGAAAAGGACTGAGTACTATATCCTGCCATAATACAGTAAAGTCATAACTCCCCTGTAGAGAAGTAATCTTGCAAATGTATAGGAGTCAAGGAAATATTTATTTTCCTTCTGATGAATTTAGAATTTTCACCTCTAAGAATAAATATTTGTCCGTGGATTGTCTTTGTGAACATCTGAGTAAATGCTTACCAGCTAGACACTTTGAAGACCAAAAAGCAGAATCTGTAAAAATTTCGAATAGAATCAGACTTAATTATGCCAACTCTGAGCTGCTCTGCAAACTTAGTCAGTTTCTCCTTCCGTATAGGAAATAAATGCTTGAGCTAGTCAGCTTATAAAGAGATTTATTTAGGCTCATATTATGGAGGTTCCATTCCATGCTCAGTTGGTGCCATTGTTTTGGAGCCTGTGGCAAGTCAGCACATGATGGCAGAAGAACATGGCAAAGAAAACCACTCACCTCGTATCCAGGAAGTGAAGGAGAGAGAGAGAAGAAGTGGCCAGAGTCGAAGTATTCCAATCAAAGGCATATCCCCAATGACCTGAGGACTTCCCAAAAGGCTCCACCTCTTAAAGATTCTACCACCTCCTAATAGTAAGCTGGAGCCAGCTCTTTAATATATGAACATTTGGGGGACATTCCTAATCCAAACTATACCAAGGTGCCAAGACCATCATGTATTATCTTATTAAGAATATCTGTGACATTATTCTAAAAAAAATAACTTGGACTTGAGGAATGCATTGCTGAGAAAACATTATAGGGGGTATAGAAAAGGATCCTAAGAAAAACAACTCTTTGGATAAGCTTGCCATTTCCCAAAAGTTTAGTAGGAAATCACTCAGTAGAGTGGAAAGAGAAGCAAAAGTGGAACTAGTAGCATCCAAGAGGGGGTCCCCATGAAGTGTTTAATGTTATCTCTTGAAATATGGGGAAAGTCACTTTAGCATAAGTTCAAGCATTTTCTTTTAATAATTGGTATTCCTTTTAGTTGTTCCAATTCTACAATAAAATCTAATAATCCCACATATGCTTGTCTGATATTGTGGGAAGAAAAGGCTATAAAGCAAAGTGTTTTTCCCTTCATGGGAGTCCAAACAAGGCCCCGCATTTATCAAGGAGTCTATGTCTGGAAGTTCCAGAATGCGACAATCAACGAGGGAGTTAAGGTTCCCAGTGAACCAGGAAATGAGGAGAAGCACAGAGTCCTGGTCAATTGATGCCAGGTGCCCAGCTCAAGATTAAACCCTCCCTTTACATTCCATACAGAGGAAGGGGACCCTCAGGCGGAGGCCAGCTGATAGAGTGTTTATCACAACTTGAGTCTAATTTGGTGAACTAGTTTTCTTAAATCCATTTTATCTAGATTTTCAAAATCATTGACATAGTTAGACAAATTATTCTAAAATTATTTTAATTTCCACTGCATTGTGGTTACTTCCAAGGTGTTATTCCTAAATTTTGTATCTTTTGTATACATTTGTTTCAGATTTTAATAGACTCCAAATAATTGGTTTGCAGAAATTCTTATTAAAGTCTCCTGCCCGCCCCGCCCCCCATTCTCTAGTGCCCTAAACTCTCCGTTTCGGTCAGTTTTTCATCTCTGTGACCAAAAAACCTGACAAGAACAATTTTAGAGGAGGAAGTTTATTTGGTGCACGTGGTTTCAGAGGCCTCAGTCCATACATAGCTGACTCTTACTTTGGGCCCCAGGGGAGCAGAACATCGTGGCAGAATGGTGTGGTAGAGGAAAGCAGCTCAGGACATAGAACCAGCCTTAGCAACTTAGCAAGACCCTAACTTAGTGAGACCTTGTCTCAAAATAAAAAATAAAAAGGGCTGGGGATGTAGCCAGCTAAATCCCCAGCACCAAAGAAAGAAAAAAAGAAAAGAAAAAAGTGTGTGTGTGTGTGTGTGTGTGTGTGTGTGTGTGTGTACACTTTATAGGCACATCCCCAATGACTCACCTCCTCCAGCACTCGCTACCTACCTACAGTTACCACCCAGTTAATCTCTACCAGTGGATTAATACACAGATTAGGTTAAAGTTTTCATAATCTAATCATTTCACCTCTAAACTTTCTTACATTTTCTCACACATGAGCTTTTGGGGGACATCTTATATCTAAACCATAATACTCTGGAACCCTCTCACTCCTCTATGTCAATAAAATTCTCTTATTCAGCCACAATGGACTCTCTGACCCCTCCATCCTCTACTCATTCCATGTCTGTATGTCAAACTCCAGATACCAGCCTTGGACTACTGTGTCACCCTGAAGGAATGTCCTTTGTCTTGCTTTCTAGTGTTTGAGAATCCATCCTGTTCTTTTCAACTGCCTATTCCTGTTTTTTTTTTTTTCTCTTCAGAGAATCGAGGAAGTAGAAGCAGTATAGAGGATCCTAATAAATTCCTCAGATTAACAAATGTTATCTTTGTCTGCTTGTGGCACTAGGTGTTGAACCCAGGGCCTCCCACATGGAAGGTAAGCACTCTACCACTGAGCTACATCCCCATCCCTTTTTGCTTTGAGACAGGATCTTACTAAGTCTTTGAGGCTGGCCTCAAACATGCAATCCTCCTGCCTCAGCCTCCTGAGTTGCTGGGATTACAAGTGTGTACCACCATATTTGGCAATAAATGATATCACAGTTCATTACCTGCCTCAGAGGTGTCACATAAATCATCCAATCACTGTAGTGAGTCTCTCATTTAGACAAGGTGAATTACACGAGTTTACAAATCGGTTCAGTGAGCTTGGCTAAATCCAGTGCCCTCTCCATTATTTTATCCTGAACTTCTTGGGAATTCCCTAACTAGATCATTTGTAATAGTTTCTTTTTTAATGCATACAGATTCCTTTTATTTTCCCCCAAATTTCCTAGTTTAATTGACTGGGAAATTTTCTTGACCTGATTCTGCCTGCTACTCCTCTCTTCATCTTCAGCCACCTTCCTTTTCACCCCCTTTTCATTGCTTAAGAAGGAGCAAATCCAGAGCTGGCCTTGGTCTAGATTTCTGCAAAAGACACCAGGTCTTCAGAAAAATGAAATCTCTTCCCATTCCAACCTGGGAAAGGGAAAAACCTTACACATAGAACTACCCAATACACATGAAAACCTATGCTGAGAACATCTCATCTAGGTCTTACTACAAAAAAGGCATTTTCCACTCATAGAAACTGCAAAGTTGGGGCTGAGGTTGTGGCTCAGCAGTAAAGGCTCAGCGGTAGAGCGCTTGCCTAGCATGTGCAAAGCCCTGGGTTTGATCTTCAGCCCCACATAAAAATGAATAAATAAAATAAAGGTATTGTGTCCAACTACATCTAAAAAATAAATAAATATTTTTAAAAAAAGAAAGAAACTGAAAAGTTGGCATGGGACCCAGAGGAGCATCCTTGTCTAATCCTGGAAACAGATCTTGACTTGAAACTGTCCAAGAGCTCAGGCCAATCTGGTAGCTGGAGAAAGGGTAGCAGGAGAAAGGGTAGCTGGGGTGCTCTCTGATGGGAGGAGCTCCTCAGCCCAGCCCTGGAGGCCCCAGGGCTCAGGGGCCCACTCAGATTGCACGGAGAGCAGAGGAACTGGGGTTTGCGAGCATTGTGGCTTTGTCTGTTTCCTGTTTCAGTGAGGCTGCTGTGCAAAAAGAAAGACAGTACCAAGAAGGGAAATGCTAAGGGAGCCCAGAAACATGGATTGACAACCTGCACTTTACCCAGTCACTGCCGTGCTCCACCTGAGACCTGAACCAAGATCTGTCCAAGAACTGGAATGTTTTCCTGAGCTGCTTAGCCTGGAGCCTGGGACCCAGAGGTAACTGCAAAAAAGGGTGTTTTGGGGTCAGGTTTGGGACCTTTGACTTTGGGTTGGGGCAGAAGGCACTCCACCATCCAAGCTTGTTTGGAAAAATAGAAGGGAGGGAAACATAGGAGTGGGTGGTGTAGTTTAAGAGTATTGAGGGTTGAGGTAACCAAGAAAGCATCTTGCATGGGATTCCTGAGGCCCCGGCCAGGCACAGGGATACAGCTCCCATGACTCCCTTGCTCCATCCATTAGATTAGAAGTAGGTCACACATGGTTTGGAGTTTAGGTTACTGTGACGGCAGCATGAATTAACTGACCTTTTATAGTTCCCTTCAAAGCAGGGGTCCTTTCACGTGAAGCTAGTTTTCCAGTAACTTGGGGACAGGACCCTCTCCCTCAGCTCATATTGAGAGCTCTGGATGAGGAAGGCCAGACCCATGCAGGTAGCTATCCATTGTCTCTATTGTACACATGGCCAGGAAGAAGAGCAGGAACTTGGAAAGGCAATGACAAGCCACAATAAAGTACAGAGCAGCACCCTGGTTTCTCCCTATTGCAGTGAGGAAAACCTCCCCCAGCCAGTACCACCTCTTCCTCCTAACTACAACTGGGCCTTGTTAGGCTGCCAGAAAGCCTGAGCAGTGGCCTTATAACCTTTCTCTGAACTCTTTAAGGATCAGTTCCTTTTGTGTCTATAGCCTATTCCAATTCATCAGCCATCCCACATGGTTTCTTCTTAAGAAAATCAGTATGGTCAGATATATCTCCACTCACCAAGTCACTCCAAATTCTACCAGATGTGGGGGCCTAGGGATATAGGGATCCTCCTTTCTCTAAGGGGCCATTCCTATCTCAATTCCCCTCTTGAGTAATAAATCCCAATATCTGGCCTTGAGGTTGCAGAATGGAGCAGTCATGGTTCCGTGGACCTATAGATGGCCTAGGTGAAGCATCCAGAGAGACCTCATCTCAGGCCCATCTTCTCCCCAACAGCCTTTTCCTCTTAATAGGCGAAAGGTAGGGGAATTTTCAACACTGGAGAAATTATCTCCACGGCAAAGCTGAAGGTAACTTGAGGCCAAATAGAGAAGGACCTCACACCCCACATTTTAATAGTGCAGTGCAGGTAAGCTGGATACCAGTTCCTCACCCCCATTTCTTCTTTGCCATTCTGCTTGGCCTAATTGAGATGGTGGTTATGTTGGGACCACAGAGAAGTCCTTTTTCCTTGTAGCCCAACCCCAAACAAAGATTAGAGAAATAAAGGTGATTTTAAGCTGGGGCCATACCCCCTCCATCTGGAAAACAATATGCTTCGTCAGTGAGAGAAAGGGTTGGGGGAATTAGAGAAAGAGGTCAAGCATTCTTAGCCCTGGGAGTACTTTAGCCTGGGACCTCTCTCTTACAGCACCAAATCTTCAGTATCCAACACCAACATAAGGATAATAATAACTATGTTTATTAATATAGAAACCTATCATTTATTGTATGCCATATACCAGGTACATGGTGTACATTTTGCCATTTAATTCTTATAATCTTTCCAGATAGGTTTTAACCCCATTTAATAAATAAGGAGACTGAGGCTTAGGGACATTTAATACCTTGTCTAAAAATACACAGAGGTAGACACTAATGGAGCTAGGACATGAGTCCACAGAGTCACACCACAGAGCAAAAGTCTCCTCCACCATGGATGGCAGAATAACCAGGGGCTATGACTTTGGGATGCCACAAGTGTACATTCAGGACATAGAATTTGTGTACACATAATTCCAAATCTCTTCCACCGTGCCATTTATAACTTAACATGAAATGGGCCTCTCTGATCCTTTGGTTTTTTAATTTTTATTTTTTTTTTTTGTTTTTTGTTTAGTTGTAGACAGACACAATACCTTTATTTTATTTTTTTAATTTTTATGTGGTGCTGAGGATCAAACTCAGTACCTCATACATGCTAGGCAAGCATTCTACCACTGAGCTACAACCCCAGCTCCCTTTACTAAGTTTTTAAATAAACAGAGTAACAGGTGGGATGTCTAGGGACATCCACGGGGTAGGAGGGAGGAAAAAAGCCATTCAAAGATGATATGTAGGGGATAAATATTGACAACCTCACAATTCTTCTTAGGGTCAGCAGTGCCCAAGGCCAGAGTGTGCCCCTCCAGCCCTCAAGTCAGGCATTTGAGAGTACCCAAGGCATGGCTACATAATACCCCTCCAGAGAGTGATAATGCTCCACCCATGTCCCCTGGGAATGAGTGCTGTGATCAGAGAAAGAGAAACAAAACCTGCAGAACTCCAGACTGAGCCGGGATGGGCAGTGAAGTCCCAACAAAGGAGCAGAGAAGCTGCTACCTGTTGAGTCTGTTTGGCTTATAAATAAACCCAAAGGGCCAAAGCTGGCAAATGCCTACTGGCTGTTGAAGCTGAGATCCTCTCCTCTGACCCACCCAGGAACTATGTTCCCAGGGCCGTGGGTAATGAAGTCATGAGTCGGAGAGAAGAGGCAGCAGCTGTGAGGGGGAGTACCTCTTCCTTCATCAGTGCCTGGTCTGACTCCAGGGAGCAGAGGGGGCAGGGCACAGAATTTTTGATGCTCAGAAACCAGCTCATCCAATTCCACTCCCAACTCAACAAAGCTACCAGCGATTCCTAGGAGAATAAACAAATTTACAGAAGGTAGGTAGAGGAGAGTAGGATAGAGAGGCACAGGAAGGAAGAGGGGATTAGGGTTTGGGTACTATGTGGACAGCAGGCAAGGCCATGTGGAGGGATATCAAAGGTGGCCTCTTGTTCCCTGGGGACTTTGGGTTACTGCTTTTGCATGTTTGTTTTATTTCTCTGTTGTTTAGAGGAGCTTTATGAGGTATAATCCATGTGCTTACTGGTTTAGAAGGCACAACCTGCATCCGGGCTTAGGAAAGCAAACTTGACAACAGACAACCCTGAAAGGGAGGTGACCCTAAAAAGTGTGGTAACTCTCATCTCCAAGAGATGTTAATTCAGATGCTCTGAAGTGGGTCGATAGTGGGCATGTGGAGATGCTCAGCCAATACTGATTTGACTTGATCTGCACCTGAGAGTCAGGGCCCAGACCCGGCCATGGGGTAGTAGACGTCAGTGGAACAACATCAGGATGGCATGATGGAGGAGTTCGGGTAGGCTTCCCTCCTAAAACACACAAGGTCTGGGCCCACAAGTTGGTTGCTAAGGGCTAAGATGGGAGCAGTGGGTGTCAGTCCCAGGCCTGATCACTTCCTGAGGGGGCATTTTTATCCCTCCAGGTCAGGAGAAGTATCATTCTATTTTAGTAACAACTTAGGCCAAGAGGCCCACTTTCCTTTTAGTTTAGTAGGAAAGAAGGGGAAATTAATTTCTCTAAAAGTCTAGAAAATAAACACACCTGCTATTCAAGAGGCTATCAATTTATTATTATTTTTATCAATTGTTTATAAAGTTCCTCTGACTTAGAGAATAGTGAGATGTTTAGTCGAGGAAGAAGGGGGCAGTGCACTTTACAGAGGTGGGACATAGGCTAGGAGCAGGAAATTGCTTTTGTTAGATTTTTATGAGTTCCTTAAGGATTAAGCACAGGAGTCCTGACTCCCAGTGTTTGGAAACCACTTCATCCTCAGTTTTCAACCCACAGGATAGAGCCCTGTGCTATTTCTGCCCCCTGATTTGGGAAGATAGTCATTTTTCTGCCCATCTTCTGGCTCCTCCCTCTTGGCATTTGGCAGATCCAGGCAGCTATTCAAGGAACTGGAAGCCAAGCACAACAGGTGCTTCAGAGGTCATCATGATCAGCCCAGACCCCAGGCCCTCCCCTGCCTTGGCCCGGTGGGCTGAGAGCTATGAGGCCAAGTGTGAGCGCCGGCAGGAGACCCGTGAAAGTCGCCGCTGTCGCCCCAACGTGACTACTTGCCGCCAGGTGGGGAAGGCACTAAGGACCCAGCACAGAGAGCAGCTCCAGAGAGCTCGACAACTGCAGTTCTTCAGGAGGAGGAACCTGGAAGTGGAAGAGAAAGGCCAGGCTCAGCGTCCCTGGGCCAGGGAGCAAGTTCCGTCCAGCAAGAAAGGCCAGGCAGCTGTCCTCAGGGAGGCCTTGTCTGCTAACGGGATCTCTTTTCCAGGACAGCAGGTGGGCCATGTCCACGGACACACTGCTTTGTGGGGCTAGGGGTCATACCAAGGGGTGGGATTTAAACTAAATCCCTTCTTCTCTAGTCATAAAGTCAAGTCTCCATTAGCCACTTACTCATTCAGAGATTTAGTTTTAGTGCTTTTGTTTCACATTTAGCTCTTTTTTGTTTCACATTTGCCTTTGAGGAGAGAGAAAATAAATTTTTAGACAATTTCATAGCCATTACCTAGTATCAGCTCAAATTTCAGCCATCTGTACTTATCTTCCACATATGTGGAATCTATACATATTTTCTACAGCTACCTTACAGCATTCATTCATCCATTTTTTTCATCAGAGATTCCCTAAATGCCTACTATATGCCAGATACCCATGCCCGTCCTCTTGATACCCTCTCCCAAAATACACACACACACACACACACACACACACACACACACACACATATCCTCTATTCTGTGAGGCTTTTGCCCAACTCATCTTTTTCTCTTGCAACATGACAAGTCTATTAAATTCACTAAACTAAGGCCTCACTCATCTAGTCCAGGAAGCCTTCTCTAGCTTCTCCAGGCCACCTCTGCTCTCTGTGGGTCTGAGAGGTTATAAATCCTCTACGATTACATAACTCACAGAGAGTCCATTCCTCTGTCCCAGAAAAGAGCAGTGCTGGCAAAAAACCAGGGTCTGTTGAGATGACCTCAGCCATCAAACCATCTCTGTCTTCCTACCTATGTTGTGCACACATTGATAGGAGGAACGGGTCCACTGTGTTTCCTGGAAATGCCTGGCATGGTTATTTCAGAGAAATAATTCTAGAGCCCAGTAGCCAAAGAGAAACAACTACCTTTTCTAAGTCAAGAAGGTTTCTGAATACTTTGGGGGAAGAAAAATATGAGAACAGAAAATACAATTATCTATAGAATTCCACCTCTAAGGCTGGATGTAGCAGCACATGCCTGTAATCCCAGCAACTTGAGAGACTGAGGCAGGAGGATTGCAAGTTCAAAACCAGCCTCAATGACTTAGTGAGGCCCTAAGCAACTTAGCAAGACCCTGTCTCAAAATGAAAAATAAAAAAGCCTGGGGATGTGGCTCAGTGGCTCTGGTTTCAATCCCCAAACACCAAAAAAAAAAAAAAAAAAAAAAGAATTCTACCTCCACCTATCAATTTTTAAATGTTTTATTGAGATTGAATTTGTTACATGACTTTTCTTAGCTCTTTTTATTTTATACTGCTGTGGTTTGCTTGGTTTTGTTTTCGTTTTGAGGAGTACTTTTTGAGACAGGATCTCCCTATGTTGCCCAAGCTGGTCTCAAACTCTTAGGCGCAGTGATCCTTCCACCTCAGCCTCCCAAGTAGCTGGGACTACATGTGTGAACCACTTCACCCAGCTTCTTGTCTTTTTTGTGTTTTACTATCGATATCAACTTTTTTAGTTTTGAGGGAAAAAAAAATACAAAAATAGGAGACTAAATTGTGACTACAACTGCTGCACTCCTTCCTTCAACTCCCAACTTTACCTTCCCTTCACACCTCAGCAATTCCACAGCTATGACTCACAGGAAGAAATCCATCTCTAGAAACTCACTATATAGACAGGAGACTGATACATAGAAAAGGCAGGATCTGAAACCACATGTCTCCCTCCCCATTCAGTCCAGTTCTCTTTCCACATCACCACACTGGCTGTTGTAAATGGCTGAAACCAGTGATTGGTTGGAGACAATTGCAGCTCCCCATTTGCCTTTCCTGGAGAGGCTACTATCCATAATTATCTCCCCAAGACTCCACCTCCTAATGCCAGCACATTAGGAAATAGAATTTCAACGTGAATTTTAGGTCACCTTCAGTCTACCACAGACACGATCATTGGCTCCTCTTTCTACAATCATGTGGAGAATCTTTTCCTAAGAAGCTCTAAAAAGTGGTTTTCAGCAGCCTTTACTTGTTTTTTCAGGTGCCAGGGACCAACACCAATGTCTTTCCAACCCCACATCACCCTCTCTCAAGTGTCCAGAGGGTTGGGGCTGACCACCACTCCTCACAGGCAAGGGCCTTTCTACCACAAGACTCTCCCATCAAGAAACCTCACAAACACCATCGTGGTAAGACAAAGCTCCCTCACTCAATGACAGAGCACAGAATTCTGCCCCAGCAGTTCAGGTCATCAGCAGTGAAAAATCCTTTTCCCTCCCCACGTCCTTCACTTCCTCCCAGTGGATTCTCAATCACCTTCTCTTCCATCTCTCAGGTACTCAGACAAAGACAGAAGAGGCACAGCCAACAATTAAGAATGACGCCAGTCAGCAGACCAGGTGAGTTCCTTTCATGTTCCTGGCCCTTCTCATTGTATCATCACGTGGCACACAGCAAAGAGAGAGAGAGAGAGAAAGAGAGATATGCTGGCCCCCATCAAATTTCATTTTCTCTTCTCTTCTAAACTTTACTTGAATACCTTCACCCGGTAAAGTGAAGAAAGAACACAACAAATATCCATGTCTACCTTAATTTAAAAAGAAGGGCCACAACACCTTAGGAGGCTCAGGCAGGAGGATTGTGAGTTCAAAGCCAGCCTCAGCAACTCAGGGAGGCCCTAAGCAACTCAGCGAGACCCTGTCTCTAAATGAAAATTTAAAAAGGGCTGGGGGTGTGGCTCAGTGGTTAAGCGCTCTTGGGTTGAATTCCCAGTATCAAAAAAAAAAAAAAAAGAAGAAGGGACCTTTCCCTGCTCTATTGGCTCTTTGGAAGGGAGCCCAGAAGGAATCAACTCACTGCCTCCTGTCTTGCTTCTTTGGTCCATTGTCATTTTTTTCTCTTCTCTTCTCAGTTATGGAGTCGCAGTTCTGGATAAGGTAAGCACATCCTCATCTTGAAGGGGTTGAATCAGATGGTATCTAAGTTCTGACACTCTGGTATTCCATGATAAACTGAGAGGGGTGGAGGTTGGCAGTGGAGTAATTAGCATAGACATAGTGGGCCTCTGTGAGACCCAGTGAAGAAGAGGTTAGCTCCACACAAGCCAGCCCAGATTTTGGTTCTATGATCCATGGTTTCAAGGGACTTTCTTTTTCTTTCTCTCCAGGAAATCATCCAACTTTCTGAGTACCTCAAAGTAAGTGGCATGTGACCTCTCTGCTAAGCTTCTCCATCTACTACTCTCTCTCCTGGTTAATCTTATTTCGTGCATTTTTGCCCCCAACCCCAGGAGGCCCTACAAAGGGAATTGGTCCTAAAGCAGAAAATGGTGATTCTCCAAGACCTGCTATCTACCCTGATTCGGGCCTCTGACAGCTCTTGGAAGGTAAGGGAATAAAAATCCTTGTTTTGAAAGAGTTCATGTGGGCATCTATGTGAGCCCATCTTATTTTTCTTTCCAAATCATCCTGCAAAAGAAGGAATGGTCTCACTGTTCAGGAGTAAACTAAGAAAAGGCAGAAAGTGGAGGATATAGTATTCAGACCTAGAAGTCAAGCAGGTCACAGTAATTAATGATATGGGTCTTCAACTGAAGGTCATGCTGCTATATTCACTGGGAAGACTTGGGACCAAAAATAGCAAGAAGGTCCATTTTTTTAATTTGTAGGAAGAACATAAGGAAGTTCCCAGTATAGCTTGTATTACTGAATATGGTAAATATCAAACGGTTTTTATAGGGGATCCACACAAATATTCATTCAAGCCAGCCTGCATCCACTACTCAGCATAGATATGAATATCAGAATGGGATGGGACCTTGGAGATGATCTAGCTTAATCTTATTTTTCCATGAGGAAATTGGGTCTCAGAGAGGCCAAGTGATTTGTCCAAAGTCACACAGCTAGTTAGTAACAGAACTGGAACTAAAGTTCTGGCCTCTAACTTTAATCCATTCATTCTACAGATATTCATAGATCATGTTTTTCCTAGTGAGGACTGGACTAGCAGTGGACATCCTAAGATTCTTTAGGCAAGGCTCCTGCTTTTAGAAAGCTCATGGTTTTCTATGAGAGGCAAATGCATAAACAATACAAAGATATGAGAAATAGCCAGGCACAATGGCACATGCTGTAATCCCAGAGACATGGGAGACTAAGGCAGAAGAATCACAAGTTCCAGGCCAATTTCAGCAACTTAGCAAGACGCTGTATGGAAATTAAAAAAAAAAAAAATTGGTTGGCAATGTAGCTCAGTGGTAGAATATCTCTGAATTCAACCCCAGTACCTCAAAAAAATGAAATATATTTAAAAATATTAATTTTAAAATAATAATAGTAAACCATTGCATGCTAACTTAAACTACAGATTCTTTATTTAAAAAACATGTTTTCAAAAAACAAAAAAATAAGAGTGGCATTGCTTTACACTTTTGTAAACCCTTTTAATGTCTAGCTGAACAAAAGACAGCTAAATTTTCTTATTTGCTTCTAAATTCAATTTGTTGGAATACATTATTTTGATTGAAGTATATGGAAAATATTTAGACTCACACAGACATTTCATTGGAAAAAGATCCCTTGCTCATCCCTTGAAAGGATCTCAAAGATTCCCATGGTCCTCCGACTTCATTCTGAAATCTGTATATTGAGGGAATGATAAAGCGTTCAATGCCACCAGAGTATAAAACACTATGGACAGTGAGACAGAAAGGAGCCCTCACAAGCCTCCAGGAACCTCACCCTACCAGGAAGATGGCTTTCATCTCCACAGAGGAAAATATCAGGAGGGTGTAGGACATAGCTAAGAAGTTTGCAGTGATACAAAATACTTCCTAAGCTCAGCCCTTCCTCCTCATGTCACTCATCAAACCAGGATCTGGGAGTCTATGACCAGAGCTCCTGCTTGCTAAGGAAATAATTTTCATTGCAGAATAGGAGCCTGGGGCAGACAGCTGTGCGTGCCAGGTGGTTTCCAGTGCTGACCTAAATTAAGATCATCTCACTCATTTGTGCAACAGACATTTGATAAGTTCCTACTCTGTGCTGGGCTCTGGGTTTCAGGAACAAAAGAAGTCAAGTCCTTGCTCTTAAGGAGCTCAGAGTCTAGCCAGGAAGAGGCAAACATAATAAGTAACTCCAAAATAGTGTGACTAGGCTGCAACAGCAGTATTTACAACATGATATAGAGGAAAAAATAATTATTCTATCAGAATAAATTTCCCACACAGCAAAAAGAATAGCTCGGCTGAGTCCTAATGGATGAGTAGGAGTTCACCAGTACAGAATAGAGTGCAGATAGGGAAAAAAGCAGAAAGAAAAAGGGTGCATAAGATAAAGGAATCAGGGGCTGGGGTTGTGGCTCAGTGGCAGAGCACTTGCCTAGCATGTGTGAGGCACCGGGTTTGATCCTCAGCACCACATATAAATAAATAAAAAATAAAGGTACATCAACAACTAAAAAATATTTTGTAAAAAAAGATAAAGGAATGGAAGAGCATTGGGTGTGGCTAAAATGAAGGGATAATATCAGAGCAGTACCAAAGAAAGGACCTTAAGCAGGTTTCTAGAATTATTACTGTTGAACAGTATTATGTATGGACCCCTTTTTAAAGGAAAGATATATACATATCTAGATTCAGGCTGCATGTCTCTGTGTGTTATCTCAGAGATCTATGAAAATGCCTACTACCACTAGTTTGAGAAATACTGTTACAGGCAAGAAGCAGGGTAGCAATGTAACTATATCTTATTTGGGTTTAAAGTCCTACACCGAACAGTGTCTATCCAAACTTAGAAGGAACTTCATCTCTATCTGTGGAACTGAATTGAAAGTGAATGATAAGTTCTGTGTTCAACAGATTATCTGACAAGGACCTGGCTCTGGATGTGGGTGGTGGGGATGGAGATTTGTAAAAGCACAGGTAAGTCACACTTAAGAGTTTGAATTAGAGAAAGTTTGATGGGAATGGGGAAGATACATTAAGAAACATTTCTGACATAGACTCCTCCGAGGGGGGACTTTAACTCCTTGCTACAGCCCAAGAGCAGAAGTTCCTCTGGCTGTGGTTTTCTCCTTTCCTTCTTCCCACCCCTCCCAATCTTCACCTTCTCTTCTCCGTCCCCACCCCCAAGCCTGAAGCTTCCTGTTTTTAAGAAAAACAGTCTTGGGCTGTTCAATTGAAGGCTTTTGCTCTCCCCAAAACAAGATAATTCAGTTCTCTATCCATCCCATGACAGCTTCAACTTCAGTGAAAGGATAGTACCAGTCTAGTATTTGAAGAAAATAATTGGATGAATGTGTCCAGAACTGGGACTCTGACATCCAGCCCAGTACACACTTTATTTTTTTCCATTTGGCCTCCGTGATTTGAATCTCCAACTTCACATGCAGAGAAGCTCACAGAAAATTCTCTATTAGGACCCTAAGAATCAGCACCTTTGTCTGCCTCCACCTCCAAGCTGATTCTGAGCCTTTGGGATACCACAGTCTTGAAGTGTAGCTGAGAACACTGAGCTGAACCTTGAGAGCAGAAGCAGATCAGCCAGTAGAGAAAGTTCAACTTTGGGAAATATAAAAAAATGAAAGCAGGGAACTCTTGCATTTTAAGATCTGCAAAATGGAACCCAGAGCAGTGGTGCATGTCTGGAATTCCAGCAATGTGGGAGGCTGAGGCAAGAGGATCACAAGTTCAAGGCTAGTCTCATCAATTTAGCAAGAGCCTCAGCATTTAGCAAGACCCAATCTCAAAATAAAAAAAAAAAAATTTTAAAATTAAAGAACTGGGATGTAACTCAGTGGTAAAGTGCCCCAGGGCTCAATCCCCAGTATCAGAAATAAAACAAAAATAATAAAAGATCTGCAAGGTTAGCCAAGTGTGGTGGCACATGCCTGTCTATAATCCCAGCCTCTCGGGAAACTGAGGCAAGAAGATCACCAGTTCAAAGCCAGTCCCCAGTAACTTAGCAAAGTCCTAAGCAACTTAGCAAATCCCTAAGCAACTTAGCAAGACCCCATCTCAAAATAAAAAATAAAAGCGTTGTGGATGTGGTTAAGTACCCCAGGTTCAATCCCTGATACCAAAAAA